GGAGAGGAGAGGAGAGGCTGTTCACCAATTTAAAAATGGAGAGAGAAGGGCATGGTGATACAGACTGATGTATGCAAAAGCTTAATGCAGCTCATCACTGGAGAAGATGCATAGAATTATTTATGGTTTGATTTTGTAATGATTGATCGTCCCTTGCTTTGGGCATGCATGTGGAATAAGAAATATTTTATGAGAAGCTAAATAATTTTTAGCGGACCTGAAGTTGTTCATTTCACATGAACTTGTTAGTGATCTCAGTCCTTTAATTAGCTTGTTAGCTCAATTACTTAAAACTCTATGTCTATGAAAGACGAATGGAAATATCAAGCAGGTTCTTTCTGGTTATTTTGATTTGGATAGTGCTAAAATGGCATAAAATCAATTCTTCATTAAAGGTTTGCAATTAAGAAGCACACAGCTTGGGAAAAAAAACATGAATATTTTAGGATTTAAATAATAAAACAGTTAAGTCCACCTCTTCTTCTGCCTGAGCTACACAATCTGATATTGGATTCACTTACTGAGCCAGCAATCTTTGTCTGTTTGTTTGGCAAGGAATCCAGGTCTTGCATTTCAAACGCCTGGCTTTTGGTTTTGTGTTTCCTGATCTCATCCAAAACAGTTACTGACCACAACCTCAGAAATATAACAAGACATTTCCTGGGCCTTTTCTTTCTGTGCAAACCCTCACCAAGCCTTAACCAACTACTGTGACTTGAGGAATGTTGAATATATTTTCCTGTATGCAGACTGGTAAGAAAGGAAATCTTTCAAAACGCTGCAGCTAAGGAATGTAGCATCCTCTCTACAACTTTGCAATCACAAAAAGGAGTAAGAATACTTACTGTCTGTAGCTGACCATGACTATTAAAATAGCTGGCATGCAGCACAGGATGATAATGACGGCCAGAGCCAGCAATGCACCTTCTGTGTAGCCTACAGCTTGCGCCTGCTTCTTGACATTTGCTACCACGTCCGGGGTGCGGATCTCCAGGATGCGTCCCCCCTGCCCCAGGTACGGCTGAAATTCTTTATTGATATCCAGCAGTTTGCCATCAAGGAACCTTCAGCGCCAAAACAGAAAACCGTGATAGCCAAGGTCATTAACTGTGTTCCAATTACTGTGCAGCTGGGCTAATAACTCCGCTCTGATAAGGCACATACCCCTTCTTTATGTACTTAAGAATCTTTGTAATTCCCCGTAATCTCTTTGTCAGCGATAACTCCAATGTATTTAAAGCCAGAACGCAGTTTAAACACTGAAAAGGAGAGGTGAGCTGAAGCTTATTCTCATTTCTAGGGGCAAAAAGTTCTTCATGCTGTAGAATAGCAAGGTAGAGTTTGCTTTGTGCTTATTTCTGTAGTGCTCTGTTGCAAAGGATTAACTAACCCTTGTGCACACATCCTTTAAGACTAAAGTTCAACTTGATGCTAATCTAAAGGCAGCTAATTTGGAAAGAACTTCGCTCAGTTTCTTAGAGCAATTTGTTTTTGGTGGCAGATACATCCATTTTGTTCCCTTTTGACCTTCCTTGCAATAGAGAAAAATATACTAAAATAAAAAAATATAAAAATACACTAAGATTAATAATTCCCTGCTCATGCAGCTGCACAGCTGCAACAATTTTGAACCTTCTTCTCGTATCTGCTCTGTCTAGTTAGGCTCCACATCTCTACTGTTTTCTTAAACCACAGTGCTGATGCTCCCTAATGAACTATTTGAAAGACTTTCTGGCTCTTCTTAAGGATAGCAGGAGGAAAGCACAAAGGGATAATGATGAGATCAGCTCACCTCCAGTGGGAATGAACACCAGAGTTGCTGAATGATGTGTCCTTTCAAAATCTGGCACAGCATGGAGGTTTTTCACTGGCTTTGAGCTATTCTATTTCAGAGCAACCTCCCAGTTAAGTTAATTTTTAGGTGGTATTCAGTAGCCCTACAAGGCACAAAGATTAAATCTCAGGGATTAGCTAACCAAGGGCTCTTGATGCTCCCTGCAAACTACAGCAATGTTTGTCTTCTGCTCAACTTCAGATTTAGTGCACCACCTAAGAAAGGAGCTTGAAGAGCATAATTATCAAGGCTAGCAAAGTCTGTGAAAGAGCAAATGTGATGGAAGAAGTTGACTGTCTGATCTGGCAATTGGCTGCTTCAAGAGGGGGCAACCAGATCTTAAGAAAGTTCTTTCATTTCCCATCTAATTGAAAATATTCTATTGGGTGACTTTTTTTTTTTTTTTTTTTTTTTGACAAAACCCAGTATTTTTGCTAACAAAATTTGCTTTGGGAGTTATTTAGAGCAGGGCTCAGATTTCCAAAGAAAAATAAAAATTCTTGAATCACTTTGGAAGTGAGGGTTGAGTGTTTCATAAGCTGCCAAGTAGTTTCCTTAAACTCCAGCCACAAAGTTCAAAGCGAGGGGCACTCACCAGGATGAAGAGGATCCAGCTGGCTCTGAGCTATAGCAGAACTCTGAGTATCAGTTTTATGAAGCCAGGCTCAAAGAGGAGCCTTAGCTACTCACACACCTGCAATCCTACAGAAGCAAACCAAGGCATCCTGAAGAACTGTTTCCCTTTGTATTACTATGCTCTTCTGATCAACTCAACAATATTCAACAACTAATGCTGTGGCTTCTTCCACAAAGCATTTTTTGTGTAACGGAGCAAAAATCTCTATTCACAGCCTGAAGATCTGCAAAGATAGTTTGCAAAAAAAGTACAAAAACAGCTCTAATTCTTTTGTTGTACGCTAGATGTCAGTGGTGCCTGCTGCAAATCCTTGTTAGCCAAACACAGCATTCAGCTAGGACAGCATTAAATCTCTGCAAGGTTTTAATGGCCTCTCTTAAAAATTCTGTTAGCATTTTCTTGACAAACCCTATTTTACCAGGTTCGTAACTCAACAGTGCACATTAACTCCATCACAAAGCATGACACACAGTGCAAAAGGATTCAGACAGGGTAAGCGTTTTATTTCTAATGGTGGACATTTTCCACTTAATGTATGCAGGAATATTTTTCTGAATTCCACTTCTTTATGCTCTAATAAATCAAATACCCTTTCATACGAAAGATAAGAAAAAAAAAAAGAAGCTGATCATTTCAAGTCTGCAGTACTATCTATCTAAGTGGCCTCAAAGTCTTTTAGGGGTATGACAAAGGAGACAATATCAAAGTGTAGTTACTATTCGGACATGTTTCAGCCTAACAAGACAGATTCCTGGTTAATAAAGATGTCAGGGAATCAGTTGTAGGAGTCCTAAGGTAAAGGATGAATTTCTCACTGTTTATCAGTCTAACAAAGTACAGGACAGGGGAAAATGAGCAGACAGACAGAGATTTTCCCCGGCTGGCAATTAGGAACACAGGGCAGCTGTTATACTGACGATTTCTAAGCTATGCAACCTGACTATACAACATCTCTCCCATCACACCCCGTTGTTTTGATTGAAGCTTTCACTGATAAATCTATTTTCTGGTAAGATCCTCAGCAGATTCCTGGCTGGCAGAAGGATGACTGTGGATCCTGGCAATCTGTTCCCAGTAGCACTGCTTTATGTCCTGTGATCTCTCAAGTGAGAAAGATTCCAGAGAAGATGGTCACAGAAGGAATTTCTTTTTAGATGTGGGTAAGTACTTGAGCTGAGTGAAATCTCTTGAGGTTCACCCACTTGATAGAGAAAACTTGTTAACTTCAGATTCCATGCTACAAAATTCTTGCTTCATTTCTCTCCTTTTAGTAAGCTGACACTTTATCACCTCTACCCTAAAGCCTGGAAAGCATTCCCCAGGGTTTTGCTAATTTACATATTTAAAAGCTTTTGAAGAGCAGGGAAAGAATTAGAAGAAAAAAAAAAAAGCTGAGCATGCAGGCACGTGGTGCATTCTAATGGGATTGTTTCTAAGTTGATAATATCCCATGCATTTTCAAACCAGGCAAACGCATAACCTTCCGTTCACACTTGAAAATTTGTTTTCTAACTAGCTTAACTCTTTCTCTGTGTACTTCTGTGGATGCACGAACATCCTTGAAAAGACTTGTCTACTTTTTTCAATGGGCACCAAAACGAAGGAGGAAACGTTTTCTCCCAAAGACAGTCTGCAAGAGGAAAATGTTCTCCCTGGGGACTTGAACAAACTCCATACATAAACACCAGCAGATCCACGGGGTGCTTTCCAAAGATGATAAGGGTTCACGGGACTTCCAACTACCATCAGGGTCACAGATTTTTCCGAACTTGGGCAGCACCACACATTCTTATTTTTGACCTTGTGTATTTTTATTGGGTTCCCACCTCAGCCATACTCCCAACTCCCAACCAGTGATGACTGGAAGAACCCAAGAAGGACTTGCTGCTCCCAAGACTGAAAAAGACTGTATGACTGAGATGGTGGGAGACTGGAGAAACACCAGAGAAAAGTGTAAGCGATTAAAACGTGTAAAATGTGTTTCAAAGTCCAGAACACAAAGAACTTGTCAAAAAATTAAGAGGATGACGTGATCATAAGCTTTTGGTAGAACAAGAAATTAAAAGCACCAATTGGGTGTTTCAAACTAGCGCTCACAGTTGTAATAAAATTCAATGGTTGAATCCAGACAAATTTAAAAAAAAGGCAAAAAAGCTGTAGTTTTTGACAGTAAAAATAATTACCTCTGCAATAACACCACAAAGGTTGTGGTTGATTGGATTTTCTTGAGCAGTTCCTTTGCTGAAAGATGTGCTCAAAACAGAATCAATTCTGGGAATTCCTATGGCCTTTATTATACCAGGTCAGACTGATCGCAGTCATCTTTTCCAACCTATAAACTCTGAATATATGCAGAGCTTTAGTATGCTATAATTCATCTGTACTAAATTAAGAGCTCGAGAGAACAAGCCCTTTTTCAATCACAGTCCACTGAGATAGCTCACAGCCATTTGCTTTATAGGTTTGCTTTATAGGTAGACTGAGGTGCTGCTTTATGCCATCACGGAGCAGTCTGGTCTAGTTTTCATTGAGATAAAAAGCAAACACAGAAGTGCAAAAGAAACAAAAAGAGTCAGCTTTAGAGGAAGACTTCCATTAGTGTTTTCCTTGATACGCGTGCAGAACGTTCGAACAAACACAGTTATTGGGGTTGTTCAGTTCACGGGAATGGATCTCAAGCTGCATGCACTGCAGAAGTAGGCACTGTACGCTGGTTTCTTCAAAGGATTTTTTTCTGTTCCTGTTGTGTCAACCCTACTACCCAAGTACTTTAGGGTAGTTACTAACAGAGACAGACCAAGAGGTTTCAACACAGTCCCTAGAAGCGTGAAAAGCATGACAAACAATATACTTACTTAAAAAGTTCATTCCTCATTATAGCTCTGTTTGTTTGTGGGTCAATTGCGTAGACCATGAGGTCAGACTTGGTATAATCCTCTTCGGAGTATCCATCCCCAAACCTCCGCGCGCCAATGGATTCCACCACAACGGTTGCACCAGGAATCTGATCTTGGACATAGCGTTCCAGAATCCTAAAGGTGACACGAAGGAGATACTACTAGACAATAACCACTGACTCGGATGGTAACTTTTAGCGCACTTTATTCAAAAAACTCCACTCCAACATAACTTCTTGAATGCTCAACTCTTGGGAAAAGCTTAGCAGTGTTAGGAGAGGTCATCAGAAACAGTGTCCTTAAGTCCACCACTTTGTACTTATGACATCAGTTGAGTTTTAAATGGCTCATGGGAAACACCGTCTATATTTCACCCCCCAAAAAACACCACCCTGTCATCCTTTTATCAAGCCATATGATTTCAGAGCTCTTCAGTTCCAGCCTCACACAGTGTGCATACAATAAACTGTCACACCCAGAAACAACAATTTCAACCTCCTTCTGTGCGATATTTCCTCTGGTCCCCTAACACAGCATGACGTATCAGGTGCCAGAAGATCTGCTACTCTGGAAGGCATGAACAAGCTTTACAGCTGTAAGAAAGCTGGAATACCGGGTTGACAGGTTTCCCACAGAAAATAATAAAACATATTGCAAAAGTTTAGCAAGCAGAAGAAGGATAAGTTGGAGGCTGCTATGCCCAACGTCACAAGGACATAACAACAATAAACCAAAACAAATATGTCCTTTTCCAAAGAGGAGGTTTAATTACAATCTGCCACAATGCAGAAAGGCACACTGCAGATATAATAGTGTGACAATACAAAAGAACACTACAATCCTGAAAACATAAAACCTATTAGATAAAAATCCTTCTTTTCATTTTAATTGTCATTTGTTTGTGATGATGCAGCACACTAATATTGAAGATAGTTCCTTTTTTTTCTTTTCTGACTACTTACTGTCCAGATACATCTTACTATACGCTTTGGCAGACTTTGTTCCTCATTCAAAATGTCACATTTTTCTGCAGCTTTCAATGAAGAACTGCTTATGGGGTTATTCATAAAATGCGATATTATTCCGACAATATTTAAAAAGGCAAAATGAGAATGGACGTCTGCAGAATGTCCCTCCAAACAAAGAAATCAGATGTGATCATGCTGAAGTGTCTGTGGTAGGTCTGCAGAAGCAAAAATGTCAATGGTGCAAGGACATCACTGAGCACCTGACAAGTTTTTGCACAGACAGCAAGCACACCTGAGCCCCAGATGTAGGATTTTATAGGGAAGTTATGCTTGTAACTCACTGCTGATCTAACGAGCAATTTTAAAAAGGGCAGTATCTTACTGTAGTTAAAACATGTATTATTTCCTTCCAACTTGTTTGATCTGCTGCTCCGATGGGGCCAGTGAAACCTCCTGTAGCAGACTGCTCCTGTGTACCTGCACCATTGCTTATCCAACCACGAGGAGATGCAGTGGTATTACAGCTCAGCTGTACACGCTTCAAGTTCTGTATGCAACAAGCAGAACTGGTGCTCCCATCAAGGCCAGCTGGGGTGAACAGGAGAGATGGTGGGGAGCCAAACTGCATAAGAATGGATGGAGCCAGGAGGAGAATGGAAAGCTGTTTAGATAGTGATATTAGGAGAGCTTTATCCACAGCTGTTGGGCACAGATAGAATTAATCCCAAAGGAAATGGGAAAATCACCCTTGCATGCTGTGGGGAGGTTTACAAACTGGGGCTGAGATGGGCAGCCCACAGAGAGGTATGTAAACAAGGGCATAAAATCAAATATCATCAATGTTGGATACAAGGGCAAAAAATAGGCAGAAATAAATAAGAGAAGCTGGAAGTCTCTTCATTCCATCAGAACTATGAGTTATTGAGGAAGTGCAGTGTTTCTGGGCTAATTTATGTGATAGAAATATTTCATCAAAAAGCAATAGCTTACTTAGGATGCAAAAGCAAGGGAATGAGAGGGAGCACGATGCATGCTCTAGGGTGCAGAGGAAGACCAATCTCATACAAAAAGTGACTACAAAATCACAGAATCACCAAGGTTGGAAAACAGCTCCAAGATCATCCATTCCAACTGTCTACCCACCACCGATATTTCCCACTAATCCATGCCCCTAGGTCCATGTGAAGGAGATAGTGGGATTCTGGAGCTTAGAAACAGAAATCAAAGAATCAGCAAGACTGGATAAGACCTCCAAGAAGTCCTACCATCCACCTGTCACAGTATTACCCACTAATCCATGCCCCTAGGTACAAAATCTAAATGTTTCTTGAACACCCCAGGTTGGTGACTCCACCACCTCCTTGGGCAGCCCGTTCCAGCACCTGATCACCCTCTTAGAGAAGAAGTATTTCCTAACGTCCAACCTGAATCTCCCCTGGTGCAATGTGAGGCCATTTCCTCTAGAAGCCACTTGCTGTTTTACACAAAATCTTCTGCAGTGGCTGAGGTTACTTTACCAACACCTTGTAACTTTGCACAACCACTGATGCACGCCATCAAGACAGAAGCATTTCCCCCAGATTTTGAAAGACACAAATCTGTCAGACGCAGGTCCTCTTCTCTCTCCATAACGAATACACACTATTAGTGCAGAGCCATTTTCGTAATGATAACAGAAGCAGCAAGAGGCAGACAGGCTGGCACAGAGCTGGCTGACCAGTGCCCCGCTGCACGCCTGCAGTTTGCAGATATGGTAAACTCTTCCCATCCCTGCCTCTGGCACACGTGTAACTGGCAGCCAGGGCACTAACCTGTCACAGCCACCTGAATAACAACAACTCTGCCAGGTAAATCTCGACAGAACAAATCCCTAAACATTAGGTGAGTACGAGGGATTAAAGAAACCGTAAGCTATCTTTAGAATGGTGTTTTGCACACGGATTCACAAAGAACAAGTCCATAAAACGTCTGCTTCCCTCATTAGCATACAATCCTCTTTTGGTACTGCAAGTGAGTTTGCTTCCTTGCACACAACTATTATTTTCCCAACACAAAACAGCCTGCAAAGTTGGATGGTTCTAATGTTGGGTCACTTCTGGCAGAACTCCGTAATAAAATTCCCTCTCACAAATTCCTGGCATGGCTTCTGCTGGAATTCATTGCCACTAAGAATAGCTTTTAATAATTCAGATTGGAGAACAAAGAACAGACTACTATCAGACTTAGGCACATTGCAGCTGTTGGCTTTAACTGGCATCACAAGACACACCACAGCATGGTGGAGCATCAGTAAGATTTCATCTGAAACACACAAACTGCACGTTTAGGCTGAAATATATAAAAAAAAAACACCGAGGACTGAAAAGCAGCAATTAAAGACTGCACTTAAAGACAGGACAGTTCCCAGTGAAGTTGTTTTATAAGTCATTCACCTCAACTTAGCACGCCAACAAACTTGACTAGGTGGTCAGCTCCATCCAATACTTGTCAGAAGGCCAATTTTTAAAATGCTTGAAGTTACAACAGCACATGCAGTTCTACAATGTTTATTAGTGGAAGTTTGATTAAAACTCACCTCTTCCTTGTTAACGCAATGAGAACTGCAATCATCTCTCCACAGTGGTGTGCACGAGTGGTAGAACCAAAAATTAAGTGGCAATGATGCCTTCCTACTGCTCTAACTCCATTTAGCTCTGCAGATATACTGCAATGAAAGTTCCTCCCTGTTCATCTTCATTACTACTGCCATCCAAATTCCCATCAGCAATGCCTACAGACTGAAAGGAAGGACAAGAGAATTTTCATTGTTGCTGAGGACACAGTATAGCCTTAAATATTCAGGGAACTCAAGTATGATCCACCACAGGTCTGTTGGTTTCTTATGCAGCATTCTGCTTCTTGGAATGCTTCAGAAACCAGGAGGTCCAACCCTGAAACCTGCAAAGCAGCAGCTCCAGGCAGTAGCCAGCACTGTGCATGGTGGGAGTGAGGTTGCTACAGCCCACCTGTATGGGAACTGCTTAATCACAGCCTGAACCTCTTACTGATCACCTGAGATGAGCAATGAGTCAGCCAGGGGAGCACAGTAAAGGCAATTCAGCTGTGCTGCTGGAAGGGTGGAGCCTGGCTGCACCTCTCCTAGACCCATTTAAGAGCTGACTACGAGTAGGGAAGGATTTTTTCTGGAGATCCACTCCACTGGAGTTTTCCATCTGAGCCCAGGATGCAGGTGAGTGTACTTATCATTTCTGCTTTGGTGTAACAACTATGTAGCCAAGCTCTGCTATACCATAACATCTGTATATTCATTAATTGTGAATTAATGAGGCCCACTGAGGGCTGCACCCCAGTATGGATCTAGCTCACTTGCCATCTCCTGGCATGGGAGAGATCCTGACACAAGACCTGCTGCTGAGAAAGATGCAAAGAACAGGCAAATGTAAGGCTCTTCTTAAAGTTTCCCCTGTGAAATTCTACACGAATCAGGTAATCCACCTGAAAACATGGGATATGAAATCAGCCACGGGAGAGCCCCGTGGTGATGGTAGTTCTATAAGAGTCACAGTCATTGCTCAACACTTGGGAAGGCAGCATCCAGTTTTATAGACCTTTCATTCTCAATGGCAGAGAAGATGCACGACAGGGCCTGAAAGCACTGCGACATTCCAGACATCCCTGAGCTGAGCTGCTTGGCTGCATGCGTATGCTCAGAAGCTGCTCACAAACTGAAGAAACAACTCAGTCTGAAGGATGCTTTAGATTCCTGCCATTACCTCAATGTAACGCATGCACAATTTCCTCAGTAGAAAATTCCATGGGAGGAAAAAAAAAAAAAAAAGTATTTCCTTTTTCTGGCAACGATAGCCTGCTGTGTTTATTTAGTTTCTGGAGCAGATAAAATTATTTAAAAAACGAAATAAGAATTGGGTTTCCTTCAGGACTCTGATATAGCAAGCACTGTGGATTCTGAGCTCTAAGCACTGAAGACCATATAGTGTGTAACCTCTAACTGACAATTCTGGTTCCCCACGATTTCTTAGCAAAACACATCTAAACTCTTGGTATTTGGAAGTGTAAGTAAATCTGGCAACAAAGCAGAGCACAGAGCAGCCAGTGCTGTTATGCAAAATAAAGAAGCTGGAAATTAGGTTTATTTTGAACCTGAGA